ACACACACACACACACACACACACACACACACACACACATATATATATATATATATATATATATATATATATATATATATATATATATATATATATATGCAAGGTAAAATGCATTCCTCGATCAGAAATGATAGACACAGGTCGAGTTGAGCACAACATTTCATCCTCAGACGGACGGGCAGTCAGAGCGTACTATTCAGATTTTGGAGGATATGCTCCAAGCTTGTGTTATTGACTTTGGAGGCTCGTGGGATTAGTTTTTGCCTTTAGCGGAGTTTGCTTACAATAACAGTACCAGTCGAGCATTCAGATGACTCCTTATGAGGCTTTATATGGTAGGCGGTGTGGGTCGCCGGTTGGGTGGTTTGAGCAGGGAGAGGCTCGGTTGTTGGGTACGGATCTAGTACAGGATGCCTTGGATAAGGTCAGGATCATTCAGGATAGGCTTCGTACAGCTCAGTCCAGGCAAAAGAGTTATGCCGATCGTAAGGTTCGTGATATGGCATTCATGGTCGGCGAGTAGGTGTTACTTCGGGTGTCGCCTATGAAGGGCGTGGTGAGATTTGGTAAGAGGGGCAAGCTTAGCCCTAGGTTCATCGGCCCGTTTAAGATTCTTGATCGAGTGGGGGAGGTGGCTTACAGACTTGCGTTGCCACCGAGCTTATCAGTCGTGCATCCAGTGTTTCACGTGTCCATGCTTCGAAAGTATCATGGCGATCCATCCCACGTGTTAGATTTCAGCACTGTCCAGTTGGACAAGGACTTGTACTATGAGGAAGAGCCGGTAGATATTCTAGACCGGCAAGTTCGTAAGTTGAGATCGAAGAGTTTCCCTTCTGTTCGTGTTCAGTGAAGAGGTCAGCCTGCTGAGGCATCGACCTGGGAGTCCGAGTCTGATATGCGGAGCCGATACCCCCATCTTTTCTCCGACTCAGGTACTTCCTTCTTATGTCCGTTCGAGGACGAACAATTATTTTAGAGGTGGAGGATGTGATGACCCAAAAGGTCATCACTCGTTTTGAAAATAAATTATGTGTTCCAAGGCCTTAAAAACCTCTTTCGATCTCACCTCGATTTGCGTGTGCAGTTCGGGCGTGTATCCAGAAAGCCATTATGTAAAAATCTATGAAAAATGATAAAATTTGCTTTTAAAATGAATTTAAGTTGACTTCGGTCAACATTTTGGGTAAACGGACCCGGACCCGTGATTTGACGGTCCCGGAGGGTCCGTAGGAAAATATGGGACCTGGGCATATGCCTGGAATCGAATTCCGAGGTCCCAAGCCCGAGAAATGAATTTTTAAAGAAAATTGTTTTCTGGAATATATATGAGTTTTTGGAAATGAAATGTGTTTGAAATTTGATGGCATCGGGCCCGTATTTTGGTTCCGGAGCCTGATACAGGTCTTATATGTAATTTAAGTTGAGCCTATAAAGTTTGGTAAGAAACGGAGGTCATGTGACGTGATTCGGAACCTTAGTTGTAAAATTTGAAACTTTGAAAGTTCTTGATATTTTCTTTGATTTTGATGCTAAATTTATAGTTGTTGATGTTATTTTGGTGATTTGAATGCACGAGCAAGTCCGTATGATATTTTTGGGTTAGTGTTCATGTTTGGTTTGGAGCCCCGAGGGCTCGGGTGAGCTTTGGATAGGCCACGGAGTGAAATTTGGACTTAGGAATTTCTGGTGTGTTGCAGGCCTGCAGGCTTCGCAATGCGAGCTCGCAAATGCGAGCAATGTGTCGTAAATGCGAATAGTGGCCTGGGTTGCCTTGGTCGCAAATGCGACATCACAAATGCGAAGGCAGTATCGAAAATGCGAAGAGGACTGGATTCCTCAGGGTTCGCAAATGCGAAACCCTGTTCGCAAATGCAAAGTTAGCAGTCTGAGGGGTTTGCAATTGCGAACCCTGGTCGCAATTGCGACATCTGAACCTGCAAAATCATAACTTAGATGCATTTAAACCATTTTTCAAACCCTTTGAAAACCTAAATACTCTTGGCGATTTTTCAAAGACAAGTACTCTTCCAAATCGATTGTAAGTCATTTCTAACTCGTTTTTATTAATCTTTAACATCTTTTTTCATGATTTCAACTCAAAATCAAAGGTTTTCATGGGGGAAATTGGGTGTTTTGGGTAGAGTTTAGTTTTCCAAATTTTGGGGATTTGGACCTCGATTTGAGGTCCGATTTCAAAACAAATTATATATTTGAGTTCATGGGTGAATGGGTAATCGGGTTTTGGTTCGAACCTCGGGTTTTGACCATGTGGGCTCGGGGTCAATTTTTGACTTTTTGGGAAAAACTCTAGAAAATCTATTTTCATGCATTAGAACTTATTCATTTAGCATTTATTGATATAGTTAAGTAACTTGTGGCTAGATACGAGCGAATTGGTGGTGGAATCAAGAGGTAAAGTGGTAGTTGAGCCTTGAATTATTTTCGTGGCATCGAGGTAAGTGTTTGGTCTAACCTTAGCTTGAGGGAATAGGAGTCGTGTCCTATTTGCTATGTGTTAATTGTTGAGTGCGACGTATAGGCATGGTGACAAGTATCTATACGTTGGTGTCAAGCATGACCGTGAGTCTTATACTATGATTAATGTGACTCCGTTTTGTATTGTTCATGACTTATGTGTTATTCCTATTGTTGAACAAGGCTTGTAGAAGTAATTTTGGTAACTGGACATTTAGGAGCGTTGGCTCGGGTTGTGAAATGGTTTGTGGAATTACTGTTGGCAATTGAACATTATAGAGCATTGGCTCAAGTTGTGAATAGAGATGGGAAGTAAATGTGAAAAAGAGAAGAGAATTATAATATTGTCTCCCTTGCCGGGATGTTGTTGCTTTTAATGTTATCTCCCTTGCCGGGATATTGTTGCTTTGATATTATTTCCTTTGCCGGGATATGATTGTTGTATTACTGTTCCCTTGCCAGGATTCTATTTGTGATTTCGTTTATTTCCTTGCCCTTATTGTTTGTGATTGTTGTTTGGGTGAGGAAGAGTGTTAAAGCACGAAGGGTGATGCCGTGCATTGTTTTGGTGAGAGAGTGTTAAAGCACGAAGGGTGATGCCGTGCATGATATTTGTGAGAGAGTGTTAATGCACGAAGGGTGATGCCGTGCCGCACGATGTACCATTCCGTGCCTTTATATGAGTGATTATGCACGAAGGATCATTCAGAGCCATGATTACGTGAGGTAAAAACACGAAGGGTGATGCCGTGCCGATTATATTGATATTTGGTGAGGACGAGAGTAAAAGCACGAAGGGTGATGCCGTGCACTTGTTTGATTTTCTGGTTATTGTTGATATTTGAGTTACGATGTTCTTTACGGCTATTTATTTGTTTCCTGTTGTTACTTGATATCCCCGCAGCCTGTCCCTCTTCCCACTTCTTACTTTTAGATTGTAAATTTCTTCCTTTATTTTTCGCTGTATATGATTTAACTGCCCATGTTTATTTGGTAGTCTGGTCCTAGCCTCGTCACTACTTCGCCGAGGTTAGGCTAGGCACTTACCAGCACATAGGGTCGGTTGTGCTGATACTACACTCTGCACTCTTTTGTGCAGATCCTGGTGCTGTAACTTTCGGATCGCAGTGAGGTTGCTACTTCTAGTTCATCGGGCGACCCGAGGTAGCCCTGCAGATGTCCGCAGGCCTTGGCGTCTCCTTCTATCTTTTATCCTGTTTCGTTCATGTATTTCCAGAGACAGTGTTGTATTACTTTTTCAGACTTTTATTTGTAGTACTCCTAGACAGCCTATGAAATTGTGACACCAGTCTTGGGTAGTTTTGTTACGGATTGGTATTGGTAGCATTGTTAAACATTTCATTTCAGTCTTTCGCTTATTAAATTCTGTTGTTTATTAAATGTTGGTTCTTAACTGTTAATGGATTAAAAATGAGAAGGAGGTAAATAGTGGAAATAATTGGCTTGCCTATCTTTCACTAGTAGGCGCCATCACGACTCCCGAGGGTGAGAATCCGGGTCGTGACAACGTATCACATGTATATCCATGTATACATGTGTATGTGATACATACGTGATACAAGTATTGCAGAAGAATTTTTTGAACTCGATTTAACTACGATTTTGATATTAAATCACCTCCAATCTTCCTCGAAATTTGTTTACTGACTCATCTATACATTTTCAATGAATTTCAACAATACCCTTTGAAAAATATCCTTTTTTGCGTAAAATTTCACACACACACACACACACACACACACACACACACACACACACACACACACACACACATATATATATATATATATATATATATATATATATATATTTTATCACCTTGTTCGCTACCTCATCCAAAAAAATTTCTTTCCGACTTGTATTTAATATTGTTTTTCATGCTTAAAAATATGGAAAGAGATTCTTGCGTGTGATTCTTGGAGAGATAAAATCTTATTTATTTGGCTTTTTAATTTTATATGTGCTTGACTAATTTTGATAAATTTATAATTAATGGTTGGAGGTTGATAAGTTGGAATTTATTTGAGACATTTATGTATGATTTCCTTTATTTTTTTTTTTTTAATCTTAAAACTAAACTCTTCGAGGGAAAGATAATTGGGACTAAAGGAGTAAAACGTGAGAAAGCGAAGTTTGAAATCTTGTTAAGATATGTGGCTTCGAGAAGGTTGCGTACTAAACGCGCTTTTGCCAAAGTGTTGATGGGTACTAAAAGCTGCTTTACCACTTGTTACCGACACCGACGAAAAAGATAGGAAACCAATCTCTATATCTGAATCCCACTATAAAAATTACACAAACACACACTCTATTCCATCTGCAACACAAGATTTAACATTTCATTCCCATAATCTCTTTGTGCATTCTCTGTTCTGTTCTTAGCATTTCTCTGTGTTTCTCCAATATGACGTTTTCCGAAAACGACGATGAGGAGGTGATCACTGATTTCCAACCTTACTACCGAGTCTATAAAAACGGCCGAGTCCACCGTTTTTACGAACTTTATGGCATAGTTGAAGTTCCTCCCTCTTTAGAAGATCCAGACACCGGCGTTTCATCCAAAGACGTGACCATTTCCCCTCATATCTCCGCCAGACTTTACCTTCCCAAAAACACTATCGCCGATCAAAAGCTACCCGTCTTAGTTTACTACCACGGCGGAGGACTAGTTGCCGGATCCGCCTTCTTCGAAACCGAACACCGTTACCTCAACCATTTGGTTTCTGAATCAAATTGCATTGCTATTTCTGTGAATTATCGCCTTGCCCCAGAACATGACCTGCCCACACTCTACCAAGACTGCTGGGATGCCCTTCAGTGGGTTGCTTCACACGCCGCCGGTAAAGACGCCGAACCATGGATAGCAAACCATGGTGATTTTAACAGATTATTCATAGCCGGGGATAGTGCTGGGGGTAATATTGTCTATAACATGACCATGAGAGTTGGCAGGGAGAGCTTAAGTGGAGGTGTGAAACTCGTCGGTGCTATCTTTGCTTTTCCTTTCTTCTTGATCCCATCTGTCGAAAACATTGAGGGGTGTTTGATTTACAAACTTTGGAATACTATTTGTCCACCATCTGAACAGGGAATTAATAGCCCAATGGTTAATCCAGTTTCAGAAAATGGCCCAAGCCTGTCAGAGTTGGGTTGCTCAAGGCTTTTCTTGTGTGCAGGAGAGAAAGATGAGCTTGTCCCAAGTGAAATTATCAGTCGATTCGCTGAAGCTGTGAAGAAGAGTGGATGGAAAGGTGAATTAGAGTACATTGAGGTTGAAGGTGAAGGTCATTGCTTTCAGGCTGCTAATCCTGAAGCTGAGAAATCTAAACATCTCATCAAGCGCATGGCTTCTTTCATCCAACGCAAGTGATTACAATTCTGCAATTAGAGCTCCTAGCTAGTAATTATTATTATTAGGCCATGAGTATATATATATTTGAAGCATATTTTAGAGTGGATATGTTATTAGAACTGATTTCCTGTATCCTAGGAGCGTGGAACTTAATAGATGTATGATATGTACTATACATGAATTTCAAGCATTTTAATTATATGTATTCTCCCTTGTTTCATTTACTAATAATAAATTAATATGGCTTGGTGTAAGTAAACATGTGATGCAAGCAAGTATTTATCGTCCACCGCAAGTGATTAGATTTTTTAAATTAATTAGAGCTTGCTTCCTGGGAATTATTATTAGATCTTACAATCTCATCTATTTTTGTTGTTCCCCTAGCTAAGGTGTCATATGTGAATTTGATAGTTACTGCCTGAGGGTGAAGAACAGAAGTCGAATTTCATGTTTTATGTGCTGGATTGTCAGATCAGTTATACGTTCTGTCTCTCTTCAGGAGAATGTATTTAGGATTGGGGTAGGTAGATGTTTTGATGGATTACCGACTACAATAGGCTGCTTAAAGCCTAGATGTTGCTTAACATTATTTTGGTACATAATGATAAGTATATCACCTACAAAATAATAATTATCTTTGTTGGTACTGATGAGGCCATGGAAGAAAGTGATGACATAAGAGGAGGAATAAATAAAGGGGAGGTGAGAAAGCAGCAGTAAGGCTTGAGGATGGAATAGTGTTATCAGGTGTGGATAGAGGAATAGAAGTATAGGGTGAAGATGATCCCATAGTAAAGAAAATTGGCGTGAGAAAGCACCGGATTTGAGGGAAAGGTTTAGAAGAAAAATTCAACAATGTTGATGATGGTGAATGATGAGTTCCGTGACGGCTTAGAAGAAGGAATGAGAGAGGATTTTACTGGCTAATATGATACCATGATAGATTTTATTAAATGGCTCGGTGATCAGAGAGCCACTATTACTTGTATTTATATGATATGGATACATACATAATGATAAGTATATCACCTACAAAGATAAGTATTAAGAGTCCATCACATATATGAGACAACTACCAATATTAGATAGATTCTCAGAGTCCTAATATGGTTAACTTGTTTCACTGGGCTAAAAATTACTACTGTAAATAACTCTCTCTGATGTTTTCTTGGACTTTGTCAGCTCTCTAGTTTTGTTCTTCCTCTGTTTCAGTTTATGTGAATCTATATCCTTTTTGATCCGTTCCAAAAAGAATGATTCCTTTCTAAAATTTGGTAACAATTTAGTTTAAACTTACAATTCTATTATTAATGAGAAGCTTCTATAACCACACAAATACTGTGGGACTTGATTCAGACCACAAATTCCAAAAGTATTCATTTTTTTTTAAATTCTATCCACAGTCAAACAAGTTTACATCAACTTGAACGTAGGGTGTAATACTTAATTGTCAATGAGCTGTCAAACTCACCTCTTTTGTAACTTTTTGCATCTTCTTGATGCCTTTTACCATGATATATTGTACTTACTTCATCCAAAAAAAAAAAAAAAGGATTGGGGCAGGTTGACAACCATGGTAAAAATAGTCTATAAGTATGATGATATCTGTGAAACCGAATAGAATGGACATAAATTGAGTGGAATGGACATAGAGGATTCATATGACAAATATGGAGGCATAGTTGATTGATACATAGTAGATGCGGAACTAGTTCTATGTGCTTCTGTCTTGTGTGAGGACATGGCTCCTGATATTTTACCTCATTTTTGGTAACATGTTTCTATCCTGCAAGTTCTATCGTCCTTTCTTTTCTTATTCCATTCTTACGGCACTTGAATTCACATCATTTTTGAATGATCACTTATTTCAATTGATAATCGTATATGTCTCGGCAATCACAGTCAATCTCTCTTCTAGCTAGAAGAAACTGATAAGCAGATGAGAGAAAAAGTTTGTGGGGGAACATGCAAAGCGCCTGAAGGAGGCTCGTAGCATATACATAGAAAAGTACGCAAGGCCATCTCCAACTTTTCCCTATTTTCCCATAATGGGGAAACTTTTAGGGTAACGAAGCTCCAACTCTCACCCATTTTTGCCCCCAAAATGGGGGATGAATAGTGTTCCCTCAAATATGGGGTACACTATTCATCACCCCTATTACTATTCATATATTTTTTTATTATTATTTTATTATTTAATCTTTTAATTTATCTCTTTATATATACCTAATTATGTTTATGTAATATCTTTATAATATTAATTTTACATCTTAAATTTGGCGTATAATTTTGATAAATTAATTTTCGTGCATTTATTATTTTAATATAAAATTCTAATTTAATTTTATTATAAGTTATAATTGTACAAAATATATATAATCATCTCAAAAAATAAATAGTACAAATATAAAATATTAGATGTTGCTAAAATTGAAAAGTCCGAATATAAAATATTAGATGTTGCTAAAATTGAAAAGTGAAAATTGAAAATACATAAAAATTGGAAATACATGACAATTGAAAATACATTAAATTAAAATATATAAAAATTAAAAATACGGTAAATAGCATAATAACTTAGTAGGGAGGTTTGTCGTTTCCAGATACACCAAAATCAGTATAGTATTGAGTGAACGGGGCTGAGGATTGTTGTGGTTGTGACTGTGGATATTGTTGACTTCTTTTATACATTCTTCGTTGTTGTTCTTGTCGCATAAATTCATGACGAGTCGGATCGACAATAGAATCCACATCCATTATTAAAACTTTATTTTCTTCTTTCATTTCTTTTACTATTACTTTTTCTTTTTGAACAGTCAAAACTTCTTTTTTTGCCTCGGTTGCATTATTCGTCGCCTCAACCGTGCGATTATTTTCTGATTGGATTGTCTTCATATAATCTTCGTCATTTTTTCTCTTCATTTTTGCTTTCTTCACCCCACTAGGCCGTTGTGACGTTGTGGAATCACCTGTAACATCCTCATTTAAATTTAGTGAGCCACGTTCGGCAAAGAAGAAATATTTTGCGATGAAACAAGAATCATGTCGAGAAGATGTTGAACGTGCATTCAGAGTTTTGCAATTGTTGCAGGACCCTCACGTTTTTGGCAAAAAGAAGTGCTACATGATATAATGACTGCATGTATTATACTGTACACCATGATAATCCAGAATGAGCGTGATTTTAATGCACCAATTCAAGATGATTTGGAAGGTCCACCTCCAACAGTAGAAATGGCAGTAGATGAAAATCAACGATTTCAAGAAATTTTAGCTTGACATAGAAGAATTAAGGACAAAGATGCTCATTTTGCACTTCGTAATGCATTAATAGATCATTTATGGGAGAATCTAGAGGTTGAAGTTGAATATTTATGTAGTATTTTGAATGAATTTTATCGTTATGTAATATGTATTTAATTAACCTTGTATCGCAATGATTTCACTTTTATTTGAATTATTAGTTAATTTATAATAATTGCTTACAAATTATATTATTTAAAATTTTATGTAATTATTTTAATGAAAATTACAAATTAATGAAAATAAAAGATGGAATTTATTTAATGGAAACAAAAAAAATAAAATTGAAATGAAAGATAATAATATAATATAGAAGAGAGAGAAGAATATAAAAAAGTTTGGGGGAAAAAATGGGGAAATGGTTGGAGTAAGTTATCCCCAAAATGAGAAAATTCCCATTTTGGGGACCAAAAATGGGGAAATCCCCATCTTGGCGACCAAAAATGGGTAAAGGTTGGAGATGCCCTAATGGATTGTGTCAGACATTGTGCTTGGTAATACGATCATCGCATGTGTTTGTTGTATTTCCAAATAATGTTTTGGCTATATGTTCGACCAAAAATGTTAAACCCTTCGATTAAACCAATCTTATGGTTAGAAGAAGGGTGAATCTCAGTTAAGAATAATAAAATCTAGATCGAGTGATGAAGGAAATAAGCAAGATGGATGATGTTAGCTAATATGTTGGAATCAATTAAATGCTCAAATATGTAACAACTCAAATGTGCAATCAATCTAAATGAATGCAGCCGGCGCAGAAAGGAAATAAGTATGAGATAATTGTGGAATCTTTGGATCTTATCACTATCGTATAATGATATATGTTTGGGTTGTGTAATCAACGAACAAGGCCGCTCTTGTATTTACTCTCAGATGAATCTTTTACAAAGTTTTCTTTTATTTTTTGCCCCCCTTTTTCTTTACTAACTCTTCCTATTTATGAGGGACAATCCCCCATGAAACCCTAAAAAGTACAATCATAAAGAATATTCGAAAAGCATATTCTTACTGTCTCCTACTAAGCCTATACTACCGTTGACATCTTATTTCGACTGACCGCTCTTGGTCGTCGTCCTTCATCACGACGACCATCAGACGTTGCGTCGTTATAACCTCATTCCTCGTCCTATTCGGTGACTGTCGTAGTTGCCAAATTTGGACCCATACAGATAGTCCCTCCGCTTGTTAAGGTCGTGGCCATGTACGTCCTCAATAAGCGGAAATCGCGTATACCCGTAGAGAAATTTGGCCGTTTGAATTAGACCGGTATGACCAGTAAAGAAAGAGCGGTGCGTTCCACGGTATCCTGGATGATGCAGCTTATCGGGAAGTGACGTCACTCCCACGTGCATCATCATTGTGCGTCTTCCCGAGACAGAGACTGATTTCTTGTCGCTTCGGTTTTGGTTCCATGGGCAGCCTTCCGCTTCGATTCTAGCGCCACCCAACCCTATAAATAGGTGAAGGTTTTGTTTTTTCAAGAACTTTTAGCCATTTCTTCTCTTGTGTATGTATTGTCTTCTTCGGTCATCTCTTCTTGGGTCTTCAACTTTGCTTTCGTGATTTCTCCTCTCATCTTTTCCGTTCATCATTCTTTGATTTAAGTTTTACCAACATACCTTCTGCCATCAAGATGCCTAGAACGCATCGGTCATACGAAGAGATTCCTGATGCCACCCCGTTATCCATGGCACCTCCTTCTAGTGGTGAGGATATGGCTGCGGAGGAGGGGGACAGCTTTCCCACCGTGGAAGAGATACTCCCGAGAAACCCTATGTCTCGGAATAATTTTCACAAAGAACCTGCCTCTTCCCCCGCTTTGGTGGTTTCTGAGACTGAACAGGCTCACATAGATGGCCTTCGGTCTACGTACAGTATTCCTCCCCATGTTGAGATGGTTCCGGCTGGGAGGGACTTCGTGGAGGTCCATAGACCGGG